CTCGAAGAAACGGCGGTTTAGTCTTGTTGAGGGAGGGGGAGGGGCTTCGGGGAGTGAATAATAAGTACCATGCAAGACAAATTGCTATTATTTGTGGATGGGTGTTGCACGTGGCGAAGGTGATTCCACCGCCGTAGGCTCATCGACAGCCCCTCTTCGGTATGTTGCCGGCTTGACTAAGCTTGGAATGATGACGGTTCGACGCATGGGTATGTGTCGTTTGGTTGTGTCATTTCGCTACATTCGACCGAGGCCAAACGTCGTGGACTTGTCGCAGAGGCTAGAGAAGTTCTAAGCTACTTGTAGCTGAGGGGTTGTCCCCAAGCACTACTGCTGTACTTCAAGACTTGAAAACCAAATAAGAGTGTCCCCAGCCCCCCACAGCTTTTTTCAGTACATGACGGGGCAATTTACCCCTCCCTTCTTAGTAACAAGGTCCCCCTTGCACGTGGTGCGGGGAACCCCCCCACACGCAAGCACACCCAAGGGAGAGGGAAAAAGCCAAAAAAAACCCTGTAAAAAAATTTTAAAAAAAAAAAAATTTTTTTTACCCCCCTCCCGGGGGGGGGGGGGGGTAGGGTTAGGTGTCGGAAAAAACTTTTTTTGTGCACCCTTGATCCATCCATGTATTCTCAGTACCACGTAGCCAACACGCTACATTTCCCTCACACCTCCTTGCACCTTGAGCAGGAGCACACATGCATGCTGACGGGCGGGCAAGCCCGTGGATAAACCATTGTACGCCCGCAATTTCTCCCCGCAATACATGTATTCATACATAAGCAGGTGGAACAGGGTATCAAGCAATCAATTTCGGCACTACATATAAGTTTAAGTGGACGGAAGCCGCGAAGAAGGTGGAGAGGGAAGTACCCTGGCATGCGGCGGTGCTGCAGGGAGCTGAGAGGTTCATGACTCCTGGCACAAGAAGGAAGAAGAGGCCAGCCGACAACGAGTGCTCAAACGAGACCACAAGCCAACAACCAATGGGGCGGGAGGGGGGCAGGAGACGGACGAGACGGCGAGGAGAGAAGAAAGAAAGTAAACGAGAAGAGACGGACCGAAGTGGCGTGATTATTTATTTATTTATTTTTTATTTTTTCTCCCATCATTGGATTCTGTCGTCTGCCCCTCTGGCCCCTATCCTTCACTTCTACAAGCTAGACGACCCAACCGGGGTCACATAGGAGGGGGGTGTTGGACCCACTCCTGCGGTTCCTGCCTGAGATATTTTTATCGCGTTATTATGTGCCGGATTGAAATTATTTTAGCCAAGATTCTCCCCCCCCAACGCTGCACCATTGCACCAACCCCCCATTACTAGTGATGACGTACCATTATTACCATGTATCGCTGGTTGGTGGCCATGTTTGCGTGTTTGCGTGTTTGCGTGTTTGCGTGTTTGCTTGTTCGTTCGTTAGTGGTCTCTCCACCGTGTGCCTTATTCTGTCTCTCATTTCTTGTTATTTTCGGCCTGGTCTCTTTTTGTCCTCGCTCTTTCTTCTCCGTGTTCTTTTTCGTTTAGTTTTGTTTTCTCTTTTCTCCTCTTTCCTTTTCTTTATTTTTCTCATTTTCTCTTTTTTTATCTCTTTGTCGCTCTTTTCTCTCTCTTTTTCTGTGTCAGATGGCCTTGTCTCTGCATGCGTGTGGAGCACCAAGATTGAACCAAGGGGGTGTACCTCTTTCTCTCTGGCCCGTGATGCTGACTCCTAGTCTCAGTTGTCACCTCGCATAGCGCGCAGAGGGAGGGAGGACTCCAGAATATCTGTCGTTGAGTTCTCTTGACTTTTGCGGCCCCCTCCGGGCCAGTTTGTTTAAGTGTACCTTTTTAGGGTAAGTTAGCCTGTGACCACGGGAAACGACCGCGTCAAGTGTTGGATCAGTACGGACAGATGAAGGTACTGTGGGTAGAGAGAGATCGGAACGGTTTTTAATGTGAAGACAACAACAATATTGACAACAACCACCGGATTGGTCAACAGGCATGGCATCATCATTCCGTGTGTGGCCGTTCTTCACGGATTTATCTAAATGCGCGCGAGAGGAAGCATGAGAGGAAGAGGTTGACACAAAATGCGGTCACTATGTACCTCGCATGTAGTGCCGACGGGCTAGCGCCCGCGGCCTTCTCGGTGAAAACAACTTCGGGTCGGGTCGCTGGCAGGCAACTTAGGCTTCCGTCGTCATCCCTCGTCCAAACACGAGAAACAAAGCACATACATACATCATCGTCACATACATACATACATCCAAGCTCTCATCAGCTCTAATCTAAGCTACTACTACTGTTGTTACCTCCTGCGCTGACCAAGATGCTGACCAAGATGCCACCCGAAGGGATGGGAAAATACAAGAACCTAAAGAGTACGTTGTGTGCTACGTTGTTGTTCTTACCTGCGCAAAAATAGCAAGGTTTCGGGACCTACCTGCGGTCTTGCTGTTGCTGTTGTTGCAGACTGCGGTGTGTGTAACGTGCGGAGGTTGTGTGCAGTGAGAGTGTGGTAAAAATATGCGCGTTCGATCTTGTGTCCCTGACCAAAATACCCTTCTTTTATTATTTACCGATCGATGCCGCACGTGTCGATTTCGTATGGATGGATGGATTATTTTCCGACTCTCTACATACATAAGTATGGCGACTTCTTCAAATAAATATATCTCTCCTTGCTCAAAAATCAAGTGTGTTTTATCACTCGCGCCCGCGCCCATAGCACGTCTCGACCGCTGCGTTGTACCTACATACATACATGTAGACAGTAGCGGAGCGACGGACACAAACAATGCGCCGCAAATGCCAAGGAAGAAGAAGGTATTATGTAGATCACCGCCGTGCGCGAACATGTACATGTATGTACACACAGCAGACCAAAAAACAGGCATTTTTCTTCCCAGATCCATCCGAATCTTCGATCTCAGCAGCGCGGAGATGATCCCGACCGGTACATTGAAAGTTAAAGGCCGACACGGCGATATTTTTCTTTCTGTTCTTCAGCATGTTTCACGTTCGCATGTATGTTGGGGGCAGATGATGTTCGTTGAGATCGACGACGGTTGCAGATCAATCAGAGAGTAGGCACCATTAATATCTCCCGGGACTAATCACATCAACAGAGGTGTGCAGCTTGGGGGGAGAGCGCTGGTTTCAAACAGCACTGCCCATGGCTGTAGGTTTTCTCTCATTCTACAACGGACGTACACGCCGTTTTCGGAAAAGCAAGGGGAAAGGCACAGCACAACAGGGCGCCTACTTGATTGTAGCATATCTTGACCGGAACCGTGGTCAGTGAAACGTGTTCCCTATTTGGTGATACTTGGTGATTATTTTTGTATCGGTACAGCAGTGCGGCGAAAGATAGCTGAACCAACAATGCCGCGTAAGAACTGTTGGCGCTCGAGAATATGATGCGCAACTAACTGTTGAGTTGAAGATCTCTGGCTGCAGCTTACGGGACAATACGTCGTCCGGATCTCAATAGAGCCAGGGTATGCCGGGTATACCTGCATTCGCGTCAGTACACAAAACCCTCGTTTGTAGCTTGCATTGGGTCGGCATGACAAGAGGCAGGAGGGGCGCAGAGTGAGGAGAGTGCCCGACAAACTTTGAGGCTGATGCGTTCTTTGGGGCACCGAAAACAATCCCAAATCTACCTGTAGTAGCTGCCTATGACGCACGGCGCAAAACCCAGTCTGCACACAATTCTTCGGCTGATGTGTAGCCACACGAATGCACGCATTCACTTGCACAGAAAAATATACGCAGTCCGACGGACAAGACGAGTGGCAGTCAGGCCTTCGACTCGGAGAAACAACAGCAGGTGTACGACATAACCCGATTCAGCCCAATCGATCAACAGCTGCTGTTTCGTAGACCTCACCAACAAAATAGTAACATTGTGAGAAACTTGCCCCGATTTTTAGCCAAGCTCAATGCACAAGCGCGGGACCAAAGGTGGAACAAAGAAGGAACTTCGTAGGGGTGAACAAAACAACAAAATACGCCAATCGGAAAGAGACCTGACACCGTCACCACAACGCCATACCGATGCAGGTTTTGCGACTCATATGCATATACAAGTACCCCGGACTTCCACATCACGGCGATTGCGCAGTTTTCTTGGCAGCGTTATTTCCCTTTTCATCGCGGACGAGGGCGCCAGCGTGACGCCTCCAGCCCGGTGTGCAGCACCCCGATCAAGTTTTGGTAGCACGCCAGGAGAAGAACTACCGCCCCCGCGTCGGCTGCGTTCCCGCCGTTTCGTACGCCGCCGCCACTGTCTTGACTACCCTCGCCGCCAACGGGAATGATGGCGTTCGGTTTCTCTTCGGCCTGCCGTCCGTCCGCTGCCGAGGGGGGCTGGTAGTGCAAGGGGGCCGGGGATGGACATCTCTGTTGCTGGGTTGTGCCTGGGACCCAAACCTTGGTTTAGAGCCGGTTCTTCCGTATTCTGGCCATGTAGCGTTCACCACGAGCATTGGATTCCCTTCAACGGTCGTCGTAGGGGTGCTTCCGGTTTTTACGCTTCGGGAACACAATTGGGCCAGTGCAACACGACGTATAACTCTAGAATTACCTGTCGGCATCTAATGTACTGGTGCGCGAAGATGAAACGGAAAACAGCACCGTGACTCGGAGCTCCGAAACCATGGGAATACCTCTCATCACACACCGTCCCTGTTCCCTTAATACACCTTCTTCTGTTCCTTTTTCCCGTCATTCTCCGACAGAATGTCCCATAAGCCTCGTCCAAACAAACACGTCCAAACAAACACGCCCAAACAAACACGACAAATTTCCCGACACGAAACATGCTGGAAAGCAAAAACAGAGTTGAGTCCTCGGGCAACTCACCGGCAACCATCTCCGCGCAGTTTCCTCTCCCATTGCCGACGTCTCCGGTCCCTTCAACAAAACCCCCCGGTCGCCGCCGTCCCCACCTTCCCCCCAGCTTTCCGCCTCGATTTCCAAGGGCAGCAGTAACAATCTCCGAAACGAACCCCACCGTGTTCCGGTCCAGACCTGGCAAGATCAGGTGCTATTTGTGTCTGTTCTCTGGCGCCGGTCCATACCATTCCGTATATGTTTGACATATCAGCCAGCGGGGTCGCACTGGAGGAAGTTAACACACGGACGTTCGCGCTTTGTCCTACTGTACTTCCCCCTGCCGTTCTTGTCTTCGGTTCTTAACGCGAGAAGGGTTTAACTATCATTTTCCCTCTAATCGTGGCTACGCGCGAATTTTCGCCGCCTTCCATTGAAGAATTGCGCACGGTTCATTCCCAAGAAGAATTCGAACCCACAACATGCCGCAATGAGTAAAGGGGGCTACCCACGGTCTACTACCTCAAAGTAGCCTAAAGACCAACGGCGGGACGGAGAGACAGAAAAGAAAGAGCAAGTTACTCAAGGAGAAGTGCGCATGCATGACCCACGGAATCAGGCTGACCCGACAGCGCAAGCGCTGTTCCCCGTCGATATTTTCGCCTTTAAGAAAATCACGAAAACCAACCAACTCAGACATGCACGAGGAGCTAGCTCCATGAGAAATGAGGGCACCGTCAAGACCTCAGGGGGACATCTTGACGCGATCCGATAGGGTGATGGGCAACATGTGCACACGCGCCGGTTGCACACACCAGAGATTGGCATCGCGCAAGATGAAGCTGCCTGTGGACGGGGCAAAATCCGAGGAAAGTGGGTGGCTCCTCTCTACTCCCTTACCATGGGCCTTTTTCTCACGCCCATACCCAGCCCCATATCAACACCGGTGGCAGCAGCGTCGCAAAACAAGGTTCCGTTTTGCCACTAACCAGGCTGTTGCCGACCAAAAACAAGCCCTCAAATTGTTGCCTGCCACTGTGGGGCCGCAGCAAGGATGCCATTACAGCAGCTCGACCTCCGCACATGATTCTTCATGAGATGCACCACGCAAGAGATCGTACAACCAATTTCGAACCACTGCACAGCGCCTCACCCATCCCCCCACCCCGCTTTTAAACTCTCACCAGCAGCGGTCTCCAGAGCTGCTCGCACGCGGGGCCCGTGCACGCGAAGACCCAGGTCAACGCCAATGCCGGCGGCGCGAGAGTCGCGAAGGTCGCCGCCGCTGCCGCCGACAGCGCCAGCATGACCGGCAAGAAGCACGCCGCTGCGGCCACGACAACCGCCGACCCCAGGGATAGGGACACCGCCGACGCGACCAGGGCGGCCGCTTTCAGCCGGGGGTCTCCAAAGAAGAGAAAATCGGAGGCCTTTTCCGCCCCGCCCAACCCGAGGTTCAGCACCGCTGCCGCCGGCCTGTCGATCTGATTGGACGAGAGGAATGGGTGGAAGGATTGGGTGGCATGGACTCATGAGGTTCGTCAGGGAAAGGAGGCGAGAGGGGATGCGCGGACAAACTTTCCGGACTTGTTGGGGGCGCTTGTTCGAAGCAGTGGGGCTTGTGAAAAAAACAGCAACACACGGGTACAAGAACTACATGCAGTAACAAATGAAAATATCGTGATCAATGAGGACACCATGACATAAGTGAATCGCATATACCCTGCAGCTCGCAAGCGGACAAGATGGTCATTGGCTATTCGAGCTGATGTTGGGAAGATTTGTCCGGGAAATTTCCTCTTTTGCTTGGTCTGTTTCCAACCCAGCTAGCTCAATCCCTGGCTTTGGAGACACCTACATCATGCCAGAGCCTCCGTCCGGCATGATCGCGGACGAGCTGTTCAAGCATCAGACCTCTCGTGCTACGACACCCAACCACACCAACACACCAAACAACCAATAAGTATTCGCCTCCGCACAATCATGGCCGTCAAGGACCGTTCTCGGCAGAGGCCAACTACCCCGCCAACCTTCCGAGAAACCACATGCGCCGTCAGCCTCCCCGCCCGCGCCACCAGGGACAGCGGCCGCTTGAGCCGAATCGCGGGCGACCAGCAGATGGCCAGCTGGACCGTCGACTCCCCTCCCCGGCGGACGACCTCACTCCAGCCCCCGCTATTTGCCCCGCCCCGCCCGCGGGGATCAACGCCGTTCCGGCCTACGGCCGAAGCCCCCGAAGCCAGCTCTTGGACTTCCTCCAGGGGTGCCACGACGCAAGTGCGGCGGGTTGGGCGCCCCCCCGAGCCCCAGTGCGTGCACCGGAGCGGCTTGGCCTCGGCTACGTAGGGTGGTCTCGTTCGGCCGTCCGGTGCCACGGAAGAGGGCGGAGGGGATCTATCCAGCACCGTGACCATCAATACGTCCCTGGGTGAGGGTGGGGGGGGGGGTGGGGGCGTACTCTTGTTTCGCATATGTTAGACCATTGAGCACGCGTCCTCGAGATGACGGAGCATGGAGAGGGTGTTTGTGCAGCTGCAAACGATTGAAACTGGGAATACAGACGGAGACAATCGGCAACATGCGCGCGAGATACGGGACAATCACGAAGGTGGGCCGGGGGAAAGTGCTCCCGACAAAAGCCTTTTCTACGCTGACATGAAGAAAAATCGATGCTCAAATAATTGCGTAGTGCAACTGTAAATACGAAAAAATAATTTCCGGATCCGCTAGTTTGCGCAACAATCCACCACCCCATTGAGTCGACGCGGAGTGGTGTTCATGTGCGGGGGCTGGGCGTTCTGCAGAAAAAACAAAAAATTCCAGTCAGCCCGAGCCGTCCGACGTTGAACATCTTTAAGTACATAGCATCTTACGCGGGCAGGTTTCGCCTTATAGTTTCGACTACTGGGTATGTACGACTTCGATGTGGGGGAGGTCAAGCAGACAGATTTATCTCCGACGTCCCAATTGAACCCGTCGGTTCCCTGTCGTGTGAAGACCAAGATCGACAGACACCACGTAGCACCGCCACGCGTACGCACAGAGGTGTTTCGACGCAGACCATTCTTCTTTTCCGCACGGTGCAGTGTAGCGACCGGGCTCGAAGCATCTCTCTGTATGGGCGTGCTTTGCTGAGTACCGTCCATCTCGCGAACCGGCACACCAGCGAAAAGAAGGCTGTCTATAACAGTGCAACAAACGCCAACACGACTTCTAGTCCGTGATCTCCCCCGACAGAAGGGCCGAGGAAGAGGGGCTCTGATGACAGGTTTCAGTCTCTGGATTTAGAGTACTCGAGAAATCTGTCTCTTCGTCCTCGATCCTCTTCGTCGCTCTCCTACCCCGCGACTGCACATATTTCGTGAGCCTCTTGTCTCCTCCAGTGTGCCTCTTGTTTCATCTCTTTCGCTCTTGCGACATCTGAGTTCGGAGAACTTGGTGAACAAGCTCATGCCCAACAGGCTGTTGTAGCCCCGCTTGCTCACCGTTCCGTCACGCCGTGAAACGCTACGGCCGAGCTCCTTCTCTTCCTGCTGGCCCCCTCCCCCTCCCCGACAGTGACACCGCGTGATTCCACCTACTCGCCAAGCAAGAACAAACAGCACCACGCCACAGAGAAGTGAAGGCATGTCCACCGTTGTTGCCGCTGTTGAGATAAGCATAGTTTTCGAAGAGGCTCTAAACCCGTTTCTATCGAGTATCACCCATAACCCGGGGTAAACAAGAGACAAGTGTTCAAGGGGCACAGGCGATCAAACCCACATCAGGTATGACCAATTGCCCCAAGTCCGAGAAGTCCCGCCAGTGCTACCGAACAACAACAAAACGCACGGGACCAAGTAACAACCTGAATGTACCAATAACTATGATAATAGGCTCAAGTCCTTAGAAACGGTGAGAACAGAAGGCAACAAACACCGTGACTTCGCAGGCTAACTAACCATGAAGAGCAATTTACACCAAAACAGAGGCGAATTCCTCCACTATGCTCACACCGTTCAAATCACCACACAACAGCAAGGCCAACAACATTCTCATCCCTTCCCTTCGAAGAAAAATAAGAGACCCGTCCTACACACCAGCTTCCTAGGCCTGTCCAAGAACATCTAGTAGATGGTTTATGCTGTCCATGCAACAGAGACGCGCTCTCACTGCTGTACCGTGACCCTCACCGGGAGGCGTGTGCTGTGCAGCTTGTTGCCCACGGATAGCTCCACGCAGGGGTTCAGCAATGGGCCTGCGTTCTGCGCCGACGGTGCAAACGAACCCACAAGCGAGAGGGTAAGCCACATTTCCCAAAGGTCACAACGCGGGAGCCCTTCCGACGTCCGCCAGGATCGTGGGCATGTTTGTTCATAACCAGCGTCTACAGAGGCTCACCACCGGCCAACGTCGATGCTCATAAAGGATAGGGCAGAACCTGTCTCGTATCAGAGGCCAGAACATGGCTCTTGCTGTCGCATCTGCTAGAAAAATTGTGGACCGCCCAATGTGCAGCTTTGGCTCTTTGTGCAGCTTAGGCGCATTCACATCTGCCCCTTTTGCATCACTAGTGCTGTCTCCATATCTCGATCGTCTGGAGCCACCGTTTCGCGACCTAAGCTACAGCAGAACTCGCTTGAACCCTGTTCCGAGCTACAAGCAGTAGACTACATGCTGTAGCAGGAATGCCTGCAGCTTCGTCGCTCAGGCACTGGGATGACAGGCCCCGGGGTCCCAACTTCCCACAGATGGCGTCTATTCGGTTTTCCAACAAAACTGGGAAACCGAAAGAGGGGAGCCCATATCGTCAACTCACCCGTCGATGGCGCGAAGCGGAGCTTCGGATGTAGCGTTTGGTCAAGCACCACAGTATCTTCGACAACATATTATAGGTCGCCCCGGTGGTCTAGTTGGTAACCTCGACACCTTCTAGAGGTCAAGTCAGGGGTTCGAATCCCGGCGTAGGCGAGCTTTTCTTGCAAAGTGAGTTTTTCTCTCGCCTCCGTTCCTGGCCGAGTGGATAGCGCTAGTTCGTGTGTACACAGAGGGAAGAGAGTGCTGAACTCTTCTCGCATTAAAAATCGTAGGCAAAGTACCGCAGGAGGGGAGGGTAGAGATGGACTCTTCTGTGTGACCACGGGTCGGAATAAACGGCACTAGTACTGTGAGCGCTGATTTGAAGTGAAGAACAAAAAAAAAAAAAAATTGACTCAAAAGCCGTGGGTTGGATGGAGAGAGGGCTTGCAGTTTGCAGTGTGCCACGCTCTGGAAAAGTTGAGAGCATTTTTAGCGTGTGCATTACCGCTGTGGCCAAGAACCCGTGCACAATTTGCATCAATGGTGGATACGGTTTGAAGGGCGGGCGCCCAGAGAAGCCGGCCCCCGGCCGATCGTACAGAGCGCCTTCAGCAAGTCAGTAAAATATCGTTGGGGCAGCATGTCCGGTGTAGCTGTAGCTTGTACAGCATTTGCATCAATGCATCGCATCTAGGGACTGTTTGAATGGCGGGCGGCCAGAGAGCCGACCGATCGTACAGGGCGCCATCAGAGTATCGATGGGGCAACATATCTGCTGCTGTTACTGCGGTAGCTGTCGGGCTGTTACTGCTGTAGCCTCTTTTGAGGGAGGTTAGGCCGCAATTTCGAGGCTCTCCAACGATGAGCGATCATGCATCCATGTCAATAGTCAATTCACGTCGACCCTACCCTTTCAAGAGTGGGCATTATCTGTCGACGACCCGATGGCTACGTGAACGAGGGTCTCGTCGGACGGAATTATCCGCACCAAGCGGCCGGGGTTACTGGTATATTTTCTTGATGTGTGTTGGCATCTGGTCGCTCGCCTACCTCATCGATGCAGCACCCGGAGACAGAAACCACCAGATCCCCAACAAAGAACGTCATCTGGATGGTAGAAGAGCTCCCCGTCGTGGGGAGCGATAGACTGATTGATGTCGACAAAAACAGCCCTTGTGGGGTTGAGGCAGGTGTGCTGGTGCTGGTGGTGCCTATGACGAAAAGGGGAGCCGCAGAATGTGTGTCAATGACGTGGAGTGGTAGGTAGGCATGGCGATAGAGGCTCCGTACCTGAAACTTGGAATGCTTTTAAATACCCGTAGGGGAACACAGCTGTCAGTCGGGTTCATGGACCGACTCAAATGAAGTGCTCTGGTTCCTTGAGGCAAAACCTACTGCAGAGATGGCACGTTCACGAACGAAGTCGATAACCTGGGCGAGTCGGGGCCGAGATGCCGATATGCAGAGAACGCGGCGTAATCAACACGAACCTTATGTTGATCCGAAACGAAACCGGACCCGAGATGCGGGGCGTATCGCGTATCGTGTATCGTCCTGGGTCGGAGATCACGTACGACCGCTTGCTGGACTCTTCTGCTTTGCCTGCAACCGCCTCACAGAAACCTAACAACAAAAAGTTCTCCGCATTAGCTACGCAGACCCATCTAAATTAATTTCTCGTGGAATCAAAAGCGAAAGCTTGCGGTGGAAACGTCGCGGCCGAGAGGTCGTGTGAGTCGGCGGTGCTGCACACACCATGTGCAAGCGAGGCCTTCCCCAGGCCTCAGAAAGCCTCAGCGTCGAGAAGCGGCCCTCGTACCATGTGGTAGCAGCGGGTGCATGCATATCCAGGCGCCCAAGCAAGCACGGTTGGCTATGCTCCTACCCTGTGTGAGGACAGGATGTAAAACGGACGCAAAAGTTTCATTCCAACCAGACAAGGCACTATTAGTTTTATTGCTGTATGCTCGACAGGAAGCAAACAGATACGCATCGGACAGCGCCGAACTTGACAGTTAGCAGGGGACTCACAGGGTACACCATGCTGTGCGTTGGGTGCATGGACTCACCTTCAGGTCGAGACCTCGCTGGTACCGAGCGGGGCACTTGGTGGATCGGTGAATGAGGAATGAATGGTAACGGTGTTCATGTCACCTCGGGAAAAGAAAACCCAGGGCGACTAAAGAAAAAATAACGGACGTGAAGATGTGTAAACCGTCGTCATTGATTTGCCACGTTTTTGCCATTCGTGAGGGGGATATATCTGTGTGCAGCGGCAACATGGATACACGATTCCCTCAAGAATTTTCGGGTAGGTTTCTCGAATGAAATGGGCAAGGATGTGTGTGCTATCGGCTTCAAGCGAGACACCTCTTTCATGCGGAACACCCGTACTGTGGGACGTGTGAAGAGGCCTACTAGACAGACAGGCGGCAAGCCGAAATATTCATACCTATGAATTTGGTTTCAATCATTACTGTAGTTAGCTTCGCTGCATCTTCCTGCACTACAAGGGTTCCCATTAATTCTCACGTCGTTTTCTTCATCCCATCATGATCCCGGCTAACAACCGTGCGATCCTACCTATCATATCTATCGCATCCTGGGCCTCACAGAAGGTTCTGTCTGCGACGCAGGTCTAAACTTCCAAGTACAGAAAAGACCAGCAAGTACTTCGATCACGTTTCTCGCATCACTACTGTACAACCTTAACGACTTCCGACATCAAGGGGGCGACGGTTTCTAGCGGTGCCACTCTCAAAGGCTATTATCAAGGTCAGACTAGAGAATCGTGTTACAGCGCCGTCCACGGATAGCAACGAGGACAAAATATATCGAGCTAACTGTACCCTCCAAGGGGCTTCTCCACTCAAGATGCACCCGTTTGGGGGTCAAGGACGGGAATGTCCAGACCCCCGCTTCGAACCGTCCCGGCGACAACGACGGCAACGGGATGGGAGTGAAATCGCCTCGGAAAGTTCATGCGGCACAAGTCACAACCGATAACGCGGCACAAGTCACAGTCCATATTAAAGCATTTTGTTCGCCAGGCGCCCGCATCGGTGGTGTTCACCCACACACGTAGTCCTCCAACACACCGAACCCACCCGCGCCATGCCATCGCACGCATGCATGGCAACTATGCCGTGTTGATAGTTCGGCGATATCGATCCCCTTCCTCCTCTCTCTTTTCTATTCCCCCATCGTCCGTCGGCAACAACGATGACTTCTTCGGGCGTGAGTACGTCGACGAGCGGGAAGGATCGGAGGCCCGTGTCATCGACGTTGGCATCGGGATACACAGGCAGCTTTTGATCGGCTCGGCATGGTCGCGCGAGCCGTCGTCGCGGTCGCTATTATTGTCGCAGTTGTGCTTCTTGGAGTTTCGCCTGGTTGGTTTCGTCAAGTGGAAGAAAAAGCAAGCAAAAAGACGACCGCAACGACGACGGAGAGAGCGAGGGGTCAGGCAAAAGGGGCTGCCTACGCCAAGAAATTTCAGTTTATCTATGAAATAGAAAGGGGGGGGGGTTGCGTAGACCCTTACCCCACCGATTTCATACTGTATCCAACATGTTTGCTTAGATAAAACCTGCACAGGCTACTGGGCAAACGAAAGATGCCCAAGAAGAGATATGAAACGAGAAGAAGGCGCGATCGACATCGTAAACACGAGACATTCATTCATTCATTGAATCATGATTCTTTCATCACACACCCCATACCAAAAAAGTAGGCATACATGCAGGCCCGAGTGCTGTTAGCAGAGCAACCGGTAAATATTGTGGGAAAGTATCACTTTCTAAAAAAAAAAAAAAAACATGCCACAAAAAACGAAATCATTGGAGATTGCAATCCGAGGCTGACGCAGATGCAGAAGGGGCACACCGAAACGACGAGGACCAACCATAATTCCCGCGCCGCACCTTCGTCAGGTGTCTGCATCTATCATTCTCAAGCACGCACAAAAACAAAATACGGCGTCGATTCCCCTCAGCGTTATTGCTCACCTCACTCGAACAGGCAGATGCCAGTTTGAGCCCGTTCTCTGCACTTCTTTCCACGAAGCTCCCGGAGAAAGATTGATCGCCGGAGGGGTCGGGGACTCCTCCGGCTGCTTGCCCTGCATCCATGCTTGAGGCCTGTCAGTAGAATTCCAGGCAAAAAAATCAAGAAGCATTTTGCCGCAAGGCCGTGTTGAGGTTGGCAAAGAGAAATTCACAATCTGGGCGAAAACTAAAGGCAAGAGACGTCACAAATGAAATCGTTCCGAATCAGTTTCGATAGCACACCAACAACAACAACGTTACGAAACGGCTCTCACCCGCCTTTCTCCCAGAGGAAGGAGAAGGACACGAGGTGGCTGCGCTTCCAGCGGACGAACTCTCGAGTTCCCGGAAAGAAGTTTCGGTGGTCCCGCATGAGGTCGTTCGTCAACACCAGCGTGTTGACGTCATCGCGGGCAACCTGGGAGCCCCAAACGGCGGCGAAGAACGGGGATAACACGGCGAGCGTCGTAGGACATTGGTCAGGAGGGCAGAGGCGGAAGCCTCGGTTCGATGACTGTAACGGTAGCAGCAGCAGCAGCAGCAGCAGCAGCAGCCACGACGACGACAGTAACAACTTCCATAACACCAACACTTGCAACCACACCCACAGCCGACAAGGAAAATAGCAACCCCAGAAACAACAACAACGTCGGAGACGACGACGATGACAACAGCAACAACAACAACAACAACGACGACGACGACGACGACGACGATGACAACAACGACGACGACAACAGCAATGACAACAGAAACAAGGATTATCTTCTCACCGTGGCGTACATCCAATAGAGGTCGTCCAAGCCCTCCACCATCGCGAGCCACTGGTTTTCGACCCACTTTTGCACAATCTCGGTCTCGATGGGTGTCCATGACCTCTTCGGAGAGAACTTGCGGGCTTTCCTACCACGTCTGGAGGGTGACATTTACATGAGGGAACACGGAAGATGGCGTTATACAACAAACGTATGTGGAAAGTGGCCTGAGTTTGTGAAGCAACCGCGAGTGCATCAAATATGCGCGTCTTTGTGTCTGCATCGACCGCGCTAACCGGCTGATCAATGAAAAAGACGTCAGTGTCGGTGCGGTTGAAAACGCAAAACACTCCCAAAATGCCACTAACTGAGACCCCGTGAGAAAGATTCATGTTTGTGTGTCTATGGGTGTCCTTTAAGCACCGACCGCGGTAACCGGTTGACCACAGGGAAAATCATCACCACTACTTGTGGAAAGTTGACGAAAATCGTCAAGAGCCGGCAAAAGGCGGCGGCCAAAAATGGTCAATAGAGAGCCACAGCAATGCTTCTCGTGCAAAAAAAAAACACAGCAGCAAGAGCACCACGAAAAAAAAAATCGTACCATCCATATTTCCTTGCAAGTTGGCGTGATTGTTAGATCTTCTGATGGCTCTAGCATTTTTGCGACCACGGGCTCGAGCTTTCGCTCGATTTTGGGACTAGCAACTGACACGAGTTTAATGTGAAGACAACAACAACAAAGGCAACAACCATCCGCCTCTCTAATGTCATCAGTGCCTCTCGAAGGCTGCAACCGATCGCCTACTTTCTTCTGCATGACGACTACGGTAGTGTCGCAAAACGGGGCAAAGGCACAACCCCGGGGAACAACTCCGATCCCACGACAACGAGTCAGACACCTATCCCACCCATTGTTTATGTCCCGTCCGTTTGCAAGGAATGGAACGGGCTAAAAACTCTGCATCGTGATGACAGGGAGATCCAATCCAACCCAATGTTGAACGGCACTGAAACATCGAAATGGATGCATCCATAGGTTCCGTTTGCTCTTCTTCTTTGCGAGTATACCCCAACACAACTCTTGGTTCGACTGGCGGCATCGAACGGGCATCTCATCTCCTGTTGCGGATCCATGCGACTCCACTTTCGGGCCTATATCAAAGAAAACAATGCGGAAAAATGGATATCACCGGTGAATTTCTAACAAGCTCAGTTCACTCCAACAACCAACCACAGAGTGTCGGGTGGATTCTCGACAAAAGCACAAAACACAAGGGACAAGAAAAACAAAACTTACGATTCTCTCCGGTCGGCCCTCATCGGGAAATTGTCGTCCTTGCAATAGTACCACGGCATCGTGATGAGGACACGCTCTCCCTTGGATTTCAGGTGTTCTGCCAGCCAGTCGACCTGAAGTGGGTGGGGCGCCCAAGACAATCCGCGTTTAATGGCGGGAGGTAACACAGGTTCGCGATGTCTTTTTCTTTGGGGCTCGTTGAGGTTCGCTAGGCCCTTCGATTCAAAACACGTCAGCCAGCTGTGTGAGCTTGGGAATCAATCGTCACAATTGGCAGCTGGCAGCCAGCTGTGTGTGGCTGGCCGGTCAGACACCGTGCTCTCATAAGCCCACTCCGGAGGGACCTTTAGCATGCAGCTGGATAAAAAAAAAAACAGTGTTTAGGCCGTCAATGGACACACACAACCCTGTTAACACATCCCGCACCAAGGAAAAAATACATGTAACACGCCTCAAACCACGCTTACGATCATTCAGGATTGCACTCACGTACATGCGGAACTGCTTCTGTTTGGTCACCGTGTGGGAGGGATGTTGCAAGCTACATAATTAGCATGCGACGCGAAAGAACGATGTTGCAAGCTACATAATTAGCATGCGACGGGAAACGAAGGTGAGCCTCTTGGCTGGCCCAGCTTGAAGCTATCCGCGCTCTCCACTTCGGAAGGACCCTTGCAGTGAACAGCCCGATCAACAACCACACAAAAACCCGACTAAATAACAAAGCTGCCTCGAGACTGAGAGGATCTTGCCTGGGTGAGCGAAAACCCGCCTTCCTTGAAGTTCTGGTTCATGAAGCCGACGTTGGGGCCGTCGATGATGGCCGTCGGAGGGTCTTCCAGAGAACAGAACCAATTGGCGAACCAGCTTAGCCGCTGGACCTGAAGGCCAAGAAAAAACAAAATGACTCCTATCAATACAGAAAAGTGTGTTCTGTTTAGGTAAAAGAAAGAAAAGGATGGAGGAAGGAGCGAGGCACATGCGTCGCAAAAAAAGAAAAAAACTGCTTGGAACCCTTGTACAACAAAGCCACTTCGGAACAAAAAAAAACGCTGCCTTTTCCACGGTGAGCTGTGTATGCTACCTCAGTACGGAAAACCGCATGCGCACGGGAATCCAGATACACACCGCGAACGTAAGCCGAAAAAAATAAATAAATAAGGTTCACCGCAAAGACTTCATAACACGCCCTTCCACTGCCGTGCTATTATCTCGAATGGGTAAGTCGTTCCGTGATTGTAAAGCATATCTTCAAAAAACAAAAAAGCACGAAACAGGCAACGAAACAGGACGTGTATCACAGGTGTGCCGAAAAGCCCCGGAGCGCAGGCGCACGCACCTCTCTAGCCCCGTTCTGCGCGGCGATGCGCACGATCGAGCTCCTCATCCTCGCTCGGTCCTCCGGGGTGAGCCTCGTGCCCTGGAGCATCTCGCCGCATGTAGTGCATGTGCCCTGCTCCGACACGTCCGTCCACTTCGCGTTCCACCCCTAACCCCATCATCACGTTAAGCATAATAGGTAGAAATGGGGGGGGGGGGGGGGCACCCCCATGCAATGGAACATCTCCCCCCACCCGGGGCATTTTACCCTGCTGCCTCCCGGCACTCCGGGTTCCCCCCCTACAAAATCTTCTTCCCGTGAAAAAAAATGCTTGGAAATGCGGGGCTTGCCCAATAACTAATGTAACCCGGAAAAAAAAAAGGGGGGCAACCAAAAACCCCCCCCAAATGGGGGCATGGCACCCTGCCCTTCCCCCCTCCCAACCCTTTTACAAACCCCAGGGAAAACGGTTCAAGAGGTAAATACAACGGGGGGGGGGGGGGG